GCTTCCCAAAACTCCGGCCCTCCAGATGTTGCTGAACTACAATTCCCATGATTCTATGAATTAAATAGGCTGAGAATCATGGGAGTTGTAGTTCACCAATATCTGGAGGGACAGAGTTTGGGGAAGCCAGGACTACGGGCTCCATGATGTTCTGACTAACATACACTGGATTTCATATCAGGATTTCTGAATCGGTTCTGTAACTGACTGGATGGTGGATTGTTACCCTTGTGTATATATATATATATGAGATATAGTGACGATATTTTTATTATTTGGAAGGGATCTAATATTTTATTCGACAACTTTAAAAAAAAAAAAATTAAATACAAATGACTGGGGAATTCGCCTAACCAAAAATATGAGTAACAGCAGTATTAATTTTTTGGATCTACATATCTATATTTCAGATAATACTATAATGACTCGCAGTTGTTTTTAAACATGTAGATGTAAACCGCTATATTGAAGTAAATAGCTGTCACTATCAACCTTGGTTGTCTAATAATAAGAGGCAGTTTGTAAGAATCTGTTCAGACTTACAGGATTTTTTCTCCCAGTTATGCCCTTTAAAAGAACAGTTTACCCAAAAGGGGTATGACGAGAAAACCTTTGATAAACATTTTGGAGAAATTGCACTTTTAGATAGATCACCACTTTTGGAATATAAAAAAAAAGAAAAAAATGAAAAACACAGAACCAAATTCAAGTTATTTTGAATATTTCAAGTAATTCAGGTACGATTAAAAAAAATCATGAACATAAAATGGCAAATCTTGAGACAGGAAGGTGAAGTAAAAGAGTTTGTTGGTGAAAAACCGAAATTTAATTTTAGGGGGGCAAAAATTTATAAACAAATCTTAATGAAAAGTTTTCCAGACAAAGAAGTCCCTAATAATAATAACAGTTTAACCAATTAGACACAGAAACATAATGGCTTCTTCCCAGGGCCAGATTAAGAGCCCAGTGGGCCTGGTGCTGACAATTATGACGGGCCTAATTACAGAATCATATCGACCAAAAACAATAAAACACTCCCAAGCGTCATGTATCTGATGGAGATGGTGCTGGAGAGAAAGAAAACAGCAGCTATAAGAAAACACATACCCTAGGCTAATATTTCTCTAATTTATGTTTTCAGCTTTCAAGTAAATCCATAACCCCTAACAGCAGTGTCCAGTCAAGCAGGAAGTCAATGGGCACGGTAAAAGGGTGTGCCAAAGTCAGTATTACCTTAAAGGATCACGATAGGGTCAGGAACACAAACATGAATTCATGACCCTATAGTGTTAACACCACCATCTAGCCCCCCCTGGGCCCCTCATGCCTCCATAAATATAGCAAAATCTTACTATATTCAAGCCAGAAGCTGTAACTCTGCATGCTGTTAGACTCAGAAAAACAAGCAGTCTGCTTACATCATTAGAAGTTGTAGCCTGATCCAATCACAGTGCTTACCCATAGGATTGGCTGAGACTGACAAACAGGCAGATCAGGGGCAGAGCCAGCATGATTCAAACACAGCCCTGGCCAATCAGCATCTCCTCATAGAGATGAATTGAATCAATGAATCTCTATGAGGAAAGTTCAGTGTCTGCATGCAGAGGGGGGAGACAATGAATGTTTGAATGCATTTTAGGCAGCCATGACCCAGGAAGGATCTCTAACAGCCATCTAAGGAGTGGCCAGTGAAGTTATCACTAGGCTGTAATGTAAACACTGCATTTTCTCTGAAAAGACCGTGTTTACAGCAAAAAGCCTGACGGTAATGATTCTACTCACCAGAACAAATTCAATAAGCTGTAGTTCTTCTGGTGACTCTAGTGTCCCTTTAACTATATTCATTGTCAGCCAGACCACACAGGTTTTGTTCCTATACATCCCTCTTAAGTTTCCATACTTAAGTAAGAGTATGTGAAAAGTAGTTAGGGTTGCCACCTTTCTTGGAAAAACATACTGGCCTTGCTAATTTGCATAATTAAATATGTATGGGTGACATCACATGATGTAAATCACAAGGAGTGACATAAGAGAAAATGCTGTAAAATCACCAAAAAACTACTTAGTTTGATTCTGCTGTATAGATGGATTCCTCTCAGTGGCCCCATGTCTCTCAGTGCCCCCATGTGTCGATAACTCTAGGTCTCAGTGTTCCTATGTATCAGTGTCTCAGTGCCCCATGTCTCCCAGTGTCCCCTAGTGTCGTGTCCCCAGGTCTCCCAGTGATCCTATGTATCACAGTGTCTCAATGCCCCATGTCTCCCTGTGTCCCCATGTATCCCAGGGTCCCCATGTCACTAGGAAGACGGGAAGACCTGGGGACACGGGGAGACCTAGGGACACGGAGACACCAGTGACACTGGGAGACTAGGGGACTCTGGCTGGGACGCATGGGGACACTGGGAAAATAGGGGACACTTGAAGACATGGGGACATAGACACCAGGGACACAGACACTAGAGACACTGGCTGGGGACATGGGGACATTGAGACATGGGGGCACTGGGAGACATGGGGACAAGGAGACACCAGGGCCACAGACACTAGGGACACTAGCTTGGAGACATGGGGACATTGAGACACTTGAGGCACTGGGAGACATGGAGGCACTAGGAGACATGGGGACAGTGAGACACTGGCATACTGGGGGCACTGGGAGACTAGGGGGCACTGAGACACCAGGGACACTGGCTGGGAGACATGGGGACACTGTGTCCCCATGTTTCTGTGTCATAATGTCTCCCAATGTCCCTTAGTGTCTCAGTGTCTGCCATAATGTCTCCCAGTGTCCCTTAGTGTCTGCCATAATGTCTCCCAATGTCCCTTAGTGTCTCAGTGTCTGCCATAATGTCTCCCAGTGTCCCTTAGTGTCTCAGTGTCTGCCATAATGTCTCCCAGTGCCCCTTAGTGTCTCAGTGTCTGCCATAATGTCTCCCAATGTCCCTTAGTGTCTCAGTGTCTGCCATAATGTCTCCCAATGTCCCTTAGTGTCTCAGTGTCTGCCATAATGTCTCCCAATGTCCCTTAGTGTCTCAGTGTCTGCCATAATGTCTCCCAATGTCCCTTAGTGTCTCAGTGTCTGCCATAATGTCTCCCAGTGTCCTTAGTGTCTCAGTGTCTGCCATAATGTCTCCCAGTGTCCCTTAGTGTCTCAGTGTCTGCCATAATGTCTCCCAATGTCCCTTAGTGTCTCAGTGTCTGCCATAATGTTTCCCAATGTCCCTTAGTGTCTCAGTGTCTGCCATAATGTCTCCCAATGTCCCTTAGTGTCTCAGTGTCCCCATGTCTCCTTGCAGCCTTTCCCCCATCCCTTACTTCCCTGAGCTGTAGGCTGTCTCTGCAGGGTGGGAGTTGCTGTCTGGACTCTCTGTAGCTGCACCCCTGCAGATCAGTGAGTATAGATAGGCAGGGAGGGATATGCTGGAACTTCCTATCCCTGCCTCTCTCCATACTGGCCAGTGCTGGTATTGCAGAGTAATCTCCATTTATACTGAGAAAAATACCAGCATTTGTATTGCCAGTATCACTGTAATATTGGCACCAGCCAGGCAGCCTCAAATACTGGCTGTGCCAATAAAATAAAAGCCAGGTGGAATCCCTAAGAGTAGTGTGTGAAGAAAAAAAAATGTAAACAAAAAAAAAATTAAAAAATGTTATTTTTATTTTTTTTTAATAAATCAATGGGCCTATTCCATTGGCCTGGGCCTGGAGCTGCAGCTCCATCAGCCCCTATGTTAATCCGGCCCTGCTTCTTCCATTGTGGTATGTGCAATGCATGCAGAAACTCAAATATTTCGTATAAAAAGGGGGCAGGTTTTAGTTCCTCTGTGACAAAAAAAAGAGTATAAAATGAAATCGCTCATTACCTGCCATACAAGTAATGTCATCTATTTACTTAAATGTACATGTGGGTGTCAATATATAGGCAAAACGTCAAGCGCTATTAAAACCCGAATTAGTGAGCATATCAGGAACATAAAAAGGGGATTTAACAACCACAATGTGTCAAAACATTTTTTAGATAATAATGGATCAGATCCAAAAGGAGAAGGTGAATACGCTCTGGAGAGGAGGAGATATAGCGCCCAGGAGGCTAAAGGGATCTTTAAAATGTGCACACTAATTCCCCTGGGTCTAAATATAGATTTTGAAATCATTTGTATTTTATAATTGTTTATATTAATTTTTTTTATACATATTTTAGATATTTTTTTATATCTATTTTGGTTTAAAAATATTGACTATATCCTCCTTTTTATGACAAGATCCACCTTCCCTTACTTTTATAGTCCTAAATTGCTTGCCTTGATATCATATTTTATGCTGGGTCTAAATATATATATTTTTTATGTCTTTTTGCTATTTTTAATATATGTATTTTATGTATACCTTTTATTTTTTTAAATAAGCCAAAGTGCACAAAAGAGCTCTCACTAACGCTGATATTTTTTTTTTTTTTTCTATTCAATGCTATTTAAAGGAACACTATAGTCCCCTAAGTTACCACCTAATTATCACTGTCATTTAGGAATTAAATCACTTTGTTTCTGTTTATGCAGCCCTAGCCACACCTCCCCTGGCTATGATTGACAGAGCCTGCATGAAAAAAAAAACTGGTTTCACTTTCTAACAGATGTAATTTACATTAAATAATTGTATCTCAATCTCTAAATTGAACTTTAAATCACATACAAGAGGCTCTTGCAGGGTCTAGCAAGCTATTAACATAGCAGGGGATAAGAAAATCTTAATTAAACAGAACTTGCAATAAAGAAAGCCTAAATAGGGCTCTCTTTACAGGAAGTGATTATGGAAGGCTGTGCAAGTCACATGCAGGGAGGTGTGACTAGGGTTCATAAACAAAGGGATTTAACTCCTAAATGGCAGACTATTGAGCAGTGAGGCTGCAGGGGCATGTTCTATACACCAAAACTGCTTCATTAAGCTAAAGTTGTTCAGGTGACTATAGTGTCCCTTTAATATGAACTATGGGCATTGATGCCCTCTAAGAAAATGGAGCAGAGCCTTTTCATCTCCCCCCACCTAGTCCAATCACGAAATACACCGAATCCCACAAAAACGTCATGTGACGCAAGTAAAAAGGAAGCAGGAATACGAAATATCGGAAGTACGTCACAGGACGTGATGTATTGCCATATGTGCAGAAAACATGATGAAACAGAACGGACATATTGGGGTGGGTAAAGGAAAGTGCCTGAGACTGGATATGTCGCCATATTGGGGATGGCGGCTTAGATCCGGTCCGGACAATATTTGGAAGTGGGAGGGAATGTCAAGCCCATTCTTTACACGTGAAACAGTTTTTTCTTTGATTGTTTAATTGTCTGTATGGTATATAAAGCAATGTATGTCCACTTCAGAAGATATCTTCATCTGAGGAAGATCTGTCATAGGTTGAAACGCGTTGTGCTGTAATTAGCTATTTTAAACTTATTGTTAATAAATATTTACCTTTAATATCCACATTGGACTCTGGAGTTCCTGTTCCAAAAGCAGTACTGAGTTCCTGAATAGTGTGATTGCTGGATTCCATCCTGATATCTCATTGATGAGATGAAATGTGCTATAAGTTCTGAGTCAACTTTTGATGGGCTCTGAAAAGTGTGAGTTTGCTGATTATTTTCACATACGAATACGTTATATACAGATTACACTATGTGTATTTGCTTTGTATTTATTTGATATAGGAAAAGAAACTACACTATATTGGTTACCAAAAGATTTTTTATTTGAAAGGTAAACCTTAGATATCTGTGTGCGCATATCACCTTGTTTGTTTTTAATTTGTATCACGGTTTTTAGTGTGAATAGTGACATTGCTCTTGGGTTTTTTATTCTATTAAGCAACACTTTTTCCCTTCATTTTTTCCAATTTTAATTGTTACTCTTAACTAATTCAGGCAGAATGTCGGGGATTGCAATATAAACTCTAGAGGGCGACGTAGAGCGACATTTCAGCCTTAGAATCATGATTCAATCTTGAATTACTTTGATTTACCAATTTCATACAATTAGATTGAATCTAAACAGACATTGATATTGAGTCACTTGCGGCTTTCAAAACTCATAGAATCTCCCCATTTATTAGCGTTCTTTTTACTTTGAAGTTTTGTTATATTATTATTATAGCCTTGTGTTCTCCTTCTCTCTAGAAAGCACTGATTAGCGTTTATCTGAGATCTGCTACTCGATGCAGAGATACTTTTTAATAGAAAATATGTTTGTTTTTAATAGAAAAAAAATGTCACAACATTTCTACTGTACAAACATTCAGCATTTCTCTTTTGCAGAATATATTCCTATTAATGCATTTTTCTCAATGTGTCATCATATCTATTATATTCAGATATATATTATTGTCAAATCTGTTATTTGTTCTTTCAATGTTACATAATTCTATTTATTTTAGATAGATATATGACAGCCTAAACTCATATAAAGCAGTGTTCTAAATAATCGACCCTCAATGATTTTTTTTAATAAAATACCAACAAGGGTTTATTGTGCTTTAATAAATAATTGAAATTAATATGTGTTTACATCTAACTGGCAATGTAGTGTTTTTTCTTGATTTAGCGATTTATAATGAAAATAACCTTACAGGCATCCCCAATCTCCAATCCGTTACATCAATAACTGTATTTAAAATGATCGCAAACTTGGTAGAGTTGCTTGATTTTTATTCCCTGGGGTTATTTCTTATTAAAATGTCAAATAATGTCAAGAAGACTTCGTGAAAAAAAAAAGAAGCATTTAGATTTCCACTTATAGAACAAGCAATTACAAGTTCTAATACGACGAATAGCAGTGATAATCATTAGTATAAGAAGAATCGTGACAGCAAGATAATTTCTCTAATTTATATATTATAGACATCTATATCATTAAAACACGTACACATTCATGTATTTGGTATGTATACACATTAATAAATATTGGCCAATTCTTAGAGAAAGCCATGGCTTGAAAATAATTAAAAGGGCACCTATAATACTATAATATATTTGATAAATTTTCCCCTCATTAATTTGCTGTACCTTATTGCATTTTTTTGCATAATCAAATATTGATGTGTGTGTATGGTGTATGTGTGGGTGTATGCTCCAAAGACACGTAAATACAAGTTTTGAAAAGCTGGTAGCACTCACGGTTTCGTAAGTAATAAACTGTCGAGTATGTAAAGAGTTCCATTAAAACCAGATCTAATTTACCTCCAACGCCACCGAATGCTCCTGCAATATTAAACAGTAACTCTGTAACTCTGCGTAGACTGCACATCTGCTCAGCTGGCCCTAACGGACAGCACTACATGACGGATAAACACAAAGACAGCTGGACCCGTACATAGCAAACAGTGTGTCCGCCAAGTTTAGAGTCGTGGAAAAAAAGAGTAAAGAAAAAATGACGTAAAGATTGATAAAAACTTACATACATTCAAAAATCACCACTTGAAACAAGAGATGAAAGAAATGTAATAAGGTACGGCTGTTTGACGAGCAGGGTTGGTGTACACTAGGTTACAGTCTGCGGGGGCTGGGATGTGTATACTGGTAACAGCACATCTGCCAACCTGATTCATTCACAAAGATCAGGAAGGGTTCTGTATCCGTCTTAGCTCCCCGGCACTCCCCAACCTGGGGACCCCTTCTTATCATCGCAAAATGGTGGAGGAGCAGCTGGAGAAATTAAACCATGTCTGTTAGTGTGAGAAAATATTATTGGCATTTAATTATTTATAGCGCCAACTTATTCCGCAGCGCTTTACAATATTTAACAATAAGACAACAGTACAGGAATAATGGGTAGATGAGGACTCTGCTTAGACGAGCTTACAGTCTAGAGGAGTGTTTGTGTAAGCATGAATGTTAATGAGTGTGTTTGTGAGAGAGCGTGTAAGTGTCATAGCTCTCAGATGTGGCCATCCTACAGGTGCCAGACAAGAGATTTGAACCTGGGTCCTTTGTCGTTCTGGGCCTGCTATACTGCCTCAGAGCCACAGCAGATCCTGTACTTTTGAGTACAGGGAGTTCTATCCCTGTCATCCCTGGCTATGTCGGCAGCACCAAGGCCGCCATCAGAAATTGTGGGGCCCCTAACATAGCTCAAGGTCTGGGCCTCCAGGGGCCTGCCTCCAAGCCCCACCTCCAAATCCCGCACACAGGAATACACACACTGACACAAAAGGACACAGACACACACAAAGAAAGATACACACAAATACTGAAACAGACATACACACATATAGACACACAGATACAGATACACACACACATACTGACATACAGACACACACACTGACATACATACATACTCACATACTGACACACGCACATACATACAGACATACATACATACTGACAAACAGACATACATACAAACTGACATACAGACATACATACATACACATAAATACATACTGACATACATACATACATACAGAATGACATACATACACATACATACTGAAATACAGACATACACACACACAGATAGATATATACATACACAGATACATACAGACATACTGACATACACACACAGACATACATGCATACTGACATACATACTGATAGATAGATATATACATACATACACACATACATACTGACATACACACACACACAGACATATATACATGACATACAGATAGACACATACACACAGACATCCTGACATACACACATAGACATACATGCATACTGACATACATACATACACACATACATACTGACACACACACAGATATATACATATTGACATACATGCATACTGGCATACACACACACAGACATACATACTTGCAGACACATACACAGACATACATACTGACAAACAGACATACATACAGACATATATACATACTGACATACACACACACACATACAGATAGACACATACACACAGACATACATGCATACTGACACACACACACAGACATATATACATACTGACATACACACACAGACATACATACTGACAGACATACATACTGACATACACACACATACATACATACTCAGACATACATACACACACATACATACTGACACATACACAGACATATATACATACTGACATACACACACAGACATACATACTTGCAGACACATACACACAGGGCCGGACTGGGAAAAAAATTAGGCCCGGGCATTTTTCAATCAGAGCGGCCCCCTAAGAAAGGGGCGGGGCCAGAGAGTGTGTGTTTTGTCATCACTAATGACAACACGCCCCCTTTCAGTGAGCATGTTGGTTCAATGCCCAGAGCCCTGCTGAAGAGCTCTGACATTAGAAAAAGACCCTGAATTTGTTCTGCGCAGCGCAAGCAAATTTAATAACATGCTTGTGCTGTGTTTGCTTTTAAATTGTCTCTGGTGTTTCCACAAGTGGGATACCAGAGGACAAAAGGGCCAGGAAAGTGCATGGTGCATATGTTTGGAGCCTGCTTGTGGGATTGCATGTGTGTAGAGAGTGGTGTGGTATTGTATAAATAGGTCAATTTAATTTGTGTTTGTGGTGTAATATGTGTGGCTAGGGGCTGTAGAGAGTGTGTGTATAGGGGGCATAGTTTTATAGGGGATGCAGCGAGTGTGTGCATACGGGCTGAAGTGTGTGTGTATAGGTGACGTAGTGTGTGTAGGGGTTGCAGAGAGGGTGTGTTTAGAGAATGTTGTATGTGTTTGCTGACAAGGAATGTAGTGTGTGTGTGTAGGAGATCTACTGTGTAAAGGACCCAGTGTGTGTGTGTAGAGGATTAAGAGTGCATATAGGGTAAGGGATCTAATGTGTATCTGGAGCGTGTGTAGTGGTGCAGGGTGAGGGGTGCTGTAGTGTGTGTGTGTGTGTGTGTATGTATGTATGTGTATGTATATATATATATATATATATATTTTGACTTATTGTATGTGTGAGGGGCGCAGTGTGTGTATGTAAGAGGGGTGCTGTGTGTGAGGGTGTTTTTATCTGCTGTCACATTCTAGGTTTCTAATTTTCTTTGTCTGTTAACTCACTGAGGGTTATTTTATATATATATGTGTGTGCTGTGTGTGAGTGAGGGTGCTGTGTGTGTCTGGGTGCTGTGTGTTTGGGGGGCGCTGTGTCTGTCTGGGTGGCGCTGTGTCTGTCTGGGTGGCGCTGTGTCTGTCTGGGTGCTGTGTGTGTCTGGGTGGTGCTGTGTCTGGGTGCTGTGTGTGTCTGGGGGGTGCTATGTGTGTCTGGGTGCAGTGTGTGTCTGGGGGGTGCTGTGTCTGGGTGCAGTGTGTGTCTGGGGGGTGCTGTGTCTGGGTGCTGT